AGCCACCAAGTTGCTTAGTTGATTCAGAGGTGACGGAATCAGTTCATGGTAACGCCGTGGTATGCTCTTGGTTTAACCCAGGATAAAACGCCCTACCCCAGTTCTGAAGCTAGGACGTAAACAAACGCTTATATATATTTCTTATCAGTATATGTAGGCTTCTGTTGTGTGATTGTTGCTGTCGTTTGTAAAGCGTTTTTTTTTAGGTCGCATCGGCGCATTGTATTTTTTAAATTCTGTAGCGCAGACATTTGACCTGGGAACAGACGCCAGTAAGATGGGTAAACAGAGAGAGAGTGCCACAGTCGTAAAAGGAAGTCTAGAAATGTAAGGTACTGATAGATCTACGAACAACATTTCTCTAGCACATACACACTTATACAATTCAGCACACATCCTGTTGTTGTTAAAGGTGTGTATGTATGTGGTGTATGTATGTATGTATGTATGTATGTATGTATGTATGTATGTATGTATGTATGGTATGTATGTACGTATGTATGTACGTACGTATGTATGTACGCACGCACGCACGTACGTATGTATGTATGTATGTATGTTACGCTATGCACGTATGTACGTACGTACGTACGTACGTACGTATGTATGTATGTATGTATGTATGTATGTATGTGCGTGCGTGCGTGCGTGCATATATGTGTGTGTAGGGTGGGTGGAGGGATGGAAGGATGCCTACATGTGTACATGCATGTACATGTGTATGTACAACAATAATTGATACCGAATAATTTGACGTATGTGAGACGTTTTTTTAAATTTTAATACTTTTGTAAACTGATGCCATGCACTGTGCTCCAGCTCACTCAGCATGCCATGGAAAGTCATTCTAAGCACAACACTTGACACGCGTGCCGTAGAATTGCTGCAGTCAGCATTAAAAAGGAGCGCACAAGCTAATAGGTTTTGCATTACCGAACTGGCAGTGATAGGTATTGAGGAAGGGTAAAAGAGGGAGGGGTTTAGCGAAAAGATCAGTTTTGCAAAAAGATCAATCACTTTAGTAGCAGAGAAAGAAAAGCACTAAGCTAACAGACCATACCCATAATATACACGTAGTCTGGGTTTAATCTTCTTCTTCTTCGTGTTCACCAGCTGTAAACTCTGGCTGAAAGATAATATTGTTGGCTTTATAACGATAACAAATTATGCATGCATATATCCCGACGCAAAACTTTAAAATAACTTGACACCCATAACGTAATTATGTTGATAATAACATGGTTGTTTTATTAGGCTGAGATATCCCCATAGGTTTTTTCCAAAGCGTTTGCGGAGTTAATTACTATTTCTCCTTTCACTTGTACTCTCTCTCTCTCTCTCTCTCTCTCTCTCTCTCTCTCTCTCCCCGCCCCCTCTCTCCTCCAAATCTCTCTCTCTCTCTCTCTCTCTCTCTCCCCCCCTCTCTCTCTCTCTCTCTCTCTCTACAAGACACAGTCACCTTCTCTATCCTACATCGTTTCGTTGCAATTCACTATTATGGTTTTTATTCGCAGCGGATCTCAACCTGTGGGTCGCTACCCTTTTGGGGGTCGAACGACCCTTTCACAGGGGTCGTCTAAGACCATCGGATAATACATATTTACTGAAGTTTGGCAACGAAAATAATTATGGTAGGGGGTGCACCACAACACGAGGAACTGTTTTAAAAGGTCGCGGTATTAGGAAAGTTGAGAACCACTGGCATAGAATAATTTATGGCAAAATCTTTTCTACATTCTGTGTGGTGTGTGCAACAGCTTGCATGGGTGTGTCCGCCGTGCTGCGACTCTGGCCCCTGTGATTGTTACTATTAGTGTTATCATATTATTGTGATAATCAACAGTATGCGTTTTTATTGCATTCGTTCGTTAATTCGACTTTTTGCGCTATAAGCTGGTCGTAGAATAATTGTCTGGGAGCAGTTACAGCGGGAGTTGAGACTGAACTACTGTATAGCCGTAACAGTAGTGGTACTTTACACTAAAGCATTTGATAAAGTGAAACATGGAGAAATTATTAGAATTTTAGAAATCTTAAACATTGATGGTAAAGATCGGAGAAAAATAATAACAAAAATAAACCAAAAAAAAACAAAAAACAAAACATTTACTGGCAACAAGAAGCAGCCGTAAGGACTGACAACCAATTTGGAACTTTTTAAAACATTAAACAAGGCGTTAGACAGGGATGTGTAATATCACCCGATATATTCAATTTGTACAGTGAAATAATAATTAGATCCATCTATAGTATGCCAGGAATATCAGTTGGTGGGCGTTTTGTTAACAAACTGCGGTATGCTGACGATATGGTGTTGGTCGCTGAAAATGAAACATAACTGCAAGAAAGGTTAGATATAATTGTAACGGAAAGTGAAAACGCGGGTTTTAGTTTGAACGGCAGTAAAACAGAAGTTATGGTAATAACAAATTAAACTGACCCTCCAAAATGCACAATCAAAGTAAATGAGATAATCCCCAAGCAAGCTGATAAGTTTTAAATACTTTGGTACCTTGATAACATCAGATGAAAGATGTATTAAAGAAGTTCAATGTAGAATAGCTCAAGCAAAGGCAGCATTTTACAAAATTAGGAATATTTTAGGCAGTCTTTCTGCATTCAAAGCTATGTAAATCCTATCTTGATGTACGGAAGCGAATCGTGGCCAGTTGGCAAATTAGTGAAAACTTATTTGGAAGCTGCAGAGATGTGGTTTTATAGACGAATGACGAGAATACTCTGGGCAGATAAAAAGAGTAATGGAGACGTCTTGAAAAAACTGACTCACGAAGATTGCCCTCATCAGAAAGAGACAACTAAGCAGTTTGACATCATGGCATAAAGAATAATCTGTGCCAAAGTTGAGTGAAAGTACACGAGTCAAAAGGTTGTGGCTAGACACGACAACCAACGCCACACGGCATGGACTTTAAGAAGAAGTGGTACTAACCGTTTATTGTTAACGCCGAATGTTGGGTGGCCTAAACCAGATCTGTCAACCCAAATGTCAAGGCTTGGGACGGAGGGACACATTGGGGAAAATCCAGTCAAAAGTGTTAATGATTGCCTCCACCTTCACATTTGTCCTTGAGATTGCAGTAGTAGTTGGGGAAAAGTATATCTAGTAGTATTTAAAGCAGGAACAGTAAACATCCGCCACCACACAGTCCTTACCCGCACAGGGCTGCATATTATACCAGTTTAACGTCCCCGTCACGGGTGCCCCAGTTATAACTTCTTTGGATATTGACTAGTGTACCCGGGATTTGGCATACCATCCAGACTGAGAGCTTGTAATCCCTGGGCAGTCAGGCTTTCAGCTAGCGACCCCGATTGAGGAAGAACGGCGCAGTAACGTCCGACCGGCTGTCAACATGAGGCGCTCACAGTCGTTTGGTGATGTTCTTCTGTCTTAGCACCCACAATTAAATATTATACCAAGTTTACTAATTTAAAGTAAAAATGTTTATGTTGCTCTCGAATGAGTGTATAAATGTCTAGTGATTCTTGTCAGGAAAAAAAAAAAAGGTTCCCACCCCTGATTTCAATTAATCTGACATAATATAACATAACCCTTGACCCGTTAGGGTCGTCGAGGTGTATCTATGGAAGCACTAGCATAACAAAATCCGCTATCTGTCTCTGTATTCCGCTTGATGAATAAGTGTTTGATAACTTATTCCTGTACATTTCTTGACGTTGTCATTCCAGTTTCTTCTTTGCCCTCCTCTTCTTCGGCTACACTCCAAAGGTCCTTGAAGTACAATCTTCGCAGTCGAACCAAAATCTGTGATGGATAATCGGCACAAGAACCCAACAGTTGAATCTGTCTGTCTGTACTGTCTGCCTTCTTCGTGTGTCTGTTGACGCATAAAACATTCACACGTGATGTCCATTAATGCTTGTCTGCTACTTTTTTTTAAAACCTATGTTATCCCATGCCAGTCTCTGTTCCTTCAGTTCCCTTTCTACTATCCCCAGTTCTCCTTTTTCTGTCTGTCATCCGCTGGAGAGCTATCCTTGCGAAAGTGTCACGGGGCATTCTACGAACGTATGGACGTTCGTGTCCGTTTTCTTTGATAACATTTGCCAGAGATAAGCATTGTTTTTTTCCTACTCAATTCTTTAGATAAAGAAATAATGAGACTAGCGAAATTACAATGATGATCAGGCTAGTGTGCTAATAAAACAACCGTCTACACGTTTCAGTTAGTTACGTATCCTTTACAGGACGTTGCACAACCAACCCCAGCATTTTTTTGGCTGTTTAACTAAATTTACTCAGGGGCATCAATTTGGAAAAAGGTGATGGTCACGGACCAGAGGCCTGAGCCCCAACACAAAAAAAGATCATTTAATACAACCCAATTCGTAATGATCCGTGGGCCAATTGCTAGGTCTCTGCGGGCCAAAATTGGCCCTCGGCCCGCCAGTTGAATAGCCCTGACCTGAAAGAAAAAAAACATACACGAGTCTTTGCTAGGCACGGTGTTCGCCCAAATTATATATTTTTAAGCTGTAAACGCAGACCACTCTGCCTTGGTTTTGACAGCGGTATCGTTAGCCGACCGTTTAGAAAGCAGCGGTAAAATACTGAACATGCAAGTTCACAGAGGCAACCCACCTAATGGTCTGTCTGATCTGAGCATACGAAACCGAACCCGAAGAAGAAGTTAGAGGGGAGAGTGGATCTCTTCTCATCCTTGTAGCAGTAAATACACCCTTATACTAGTATCGCACCCTCTGATGCCCCCCCCCCCCCCCAACAGATGCATGTTTACTCTTAAAACAGACAGGGAGAAGGTACCTTCTGCGGATCACATAAGGTCGGTGATGTCATTTGGTCTGGCCCTGAACGGCCTCACATGTTTGTCCAAATGTACCAGCCTAATTGTTAAGTTGATAACAGACAACCTAGCTAGGAAAAAAAAAAACAACTTCTTTATGTCCACATGTTTACTTGTCATCTCAATCACACACTTTGAATTATCTCTTTGCAGCACTTCAACCACTTCATATCAGGCCAGTCGGAGAAGGGGCTGGTGGGGGAGCTGAAGAAGTTGAATGAATACCTGGAGGGTCAAGACACAAAGTTCTTGGTAGATAATGTTCTGTCTTTTGCTGACTGCCACCTTTTACCCCGGCTGCAGCACATACGAGTTGCCGGAAGAGTAAGTAATCTAAGTAAAGCTAACCCATTATTTAACCACAGGGTCAAACCTTGTGGATTGGGGGCCAGTAATCTTGGCCATTCTTCTTTTTCTTCATCTTCTTCTTCTTCTTCTTCTTCTTCTTCTTCTTCTTCTTCTTCTTCTTCTTCTTCTTCTTCTTCTTCTTCTTCTTCTTCTTCTTCTTCTTTCTCCTCCTTCTCCTCCAAGTCACAATATTAAATGTACCTTTGTTTCAGATGACTTGAAAAAAAATTAAAATTGAAACAGTTGTGTTGAGAATTTGCAATGTAGGCACATGTAAAACTTTATCATTCTTACCAGCCATCATTTTGTTCATCATTTAATATCTTTACTACTTTTGTATGAGCATGACAAAGAAAATAATTTATAGAGGTTCATGGTTAATTTACAAGAATAAAGTGTTAAGTAATGAATTTTTAGTAAAAAAATTTGTGATGATAAGTAGGAAAAAACTTGGTCTACTAACGAAGTCGGGCCCAGCTGTATGCTAGCTGATCTTTCATTCATGCTTGCTCAGGCTGGTCTATGTGGCAGGGGTGTTTTGTCCGGTCCATTCACCAGTGACAGACGCAATATTTTGAACTGGCCCTAACACAAACACCCTAGCCGGCAGCCTCAGCCTATGTTCCACAAGAGAGTGAAGCATACAACGCTTTTTTGCTTATGAGTGAAATGGCAATGTCGGCAACCACTGCTCACAAAACAGCGTTTTAACACACTACACAGTAAGTTTTTTTAAGACAACAGTACACCCGGCTCGCTAGCGTAGTTGGCTAAACCGGATTGCGCGGTGACCGGGTGACAAACTCTTTGTGGTCCGAGTTCATGCCTGGGGCTAGGCAGAAAAGCAATATTTCTCCCAGATTTACGGTATTTATCATGTAATCAAGGCCAAAGGGTTGCAATATCCATAATACCAAGCCTAAGGGTTAACAACTCATGGCTTCTGGATACTAAAAAAAAAAAAGGCAACAGTAACCATGACACTCCTCTAACCTAGACCAGCCTGAGCAAGCATGAATGAAAGGTCAGCTAGTGTGTAGCTGGGCCTGACTTATATAAATGCATGTATTCCTCATGTTGCCTACAGGGCCTCACTAAAAAGCATATGAAAGACGACTATATAGGGACTTGCTGAAATTGAATCTGATGGGCTGAAACGTGCACATATTGCAGCCTAGCTGTTAAGGACAACACAGTGGCAACGCCCCTTTAAGAATGGTGAAAAAGAAGAAGATGTAAGTATCTAAGTAAAGAATTATCATGTAGACAGATGAAGTTACTACTTTTACTTTTTACTTTTTCAACAGGCATTTCGGGACTTTGATATTCCAAAGGAATTCACCTACGTGTGGAGATACCTGAAGCATGCATACGAGCAGGAAGCCTTCAAGTCAACCATGCCGTCTGACCAAGACATAGTCTTCCACTACGAGAAGAAAGCCAGTGGTCCCCCAAAGATAGGCAGACACACTGTGAAGCCCACGCTAGAGAAGTTCACATACACAATGACCGTGCCAGACGATGTCTTAAATGGTCTAGACAATGGCGTTTCTGCACAGGATGAAGTAAGTTGATTTGTCTGTCTGCGGGTCGATCTGTCTGTTTGCCCCCTCTGAGCTGCTACCTAAAGATTGACTAGACAATCCTGAGATTTGAAAATCTCAATCTGGACATCAAACTAGCAAGGCAGATCCCGGATACCCTGTTCAGCCTCCTGCAAAGAAATTATAATTAGGGCACCTATAATGACTACACCAGCCTAATGTAACCTGAAGTCCTGTGTGGGTAAGGACTATATCTGCGGTTACTGGGGTTTTGGTGTGCTATTAGGGACCAGTTACATTGCACATAAATTCTAAGTGTCTGACGTCCTTCATTGCATCTCTTGATTGGCAGGGTCCGGGTTTAACATTGCTCACTGATAAATGTACTTGTTCTGATATCATAAGTAGATTACATAAGTAAATTTTCAGTAAGGTGCACTTACTGTGGCGTTGATAGGAATCCAACTAAACTCAGAGGAAAGGCATGATGGACATATGCCCAGATTGTGACCGGTACCATTAGTATTGGAACTCTGCACTGGCTGCTGAAGATGGGGACTGAGTACACATGGGAATGTTGGAGTGCTGTGATGTCAATTCTTGACTCAACTCAGCTGATGGGAATCCAGAAATGTGTACCTTCCTGCTCCTTGCGTTTTCTCTGACTGTAAACTCTGGCAAAAAGTTCTGGTTGTCGTCAACTTCTGGACTTTAGTCTTGTTCTAGGACTTGAGTATTGTGTGCACATCCATTTTACAGATCTCGATAATTTATATGCAGACTGTTGATTCCTCACCTCTCAGACCAATGCAAGGAAGCAGACATCTGAGAGGCAAGGAACCCATAGTCTGCATGCAAAAAAGCTAGATCTGTACAAGCTGATTTGCATGCGAAATATAAGTTCTTTAACAAGATCATAGTTCAGAAGTGACAAACAACCATTAGTTTCCATTGGGGTTTACGGGCAGTAAATATGAAGAAGAAGAAGAAGAGGAGGAAGAACTAAGAATATGTGTACAGAAGACATGAAAAACACACACTTATGCTGTTAAACAGAACAGCTTGATATCACCTGGTTAGAAGGTAATGCTTTCACCTCACCTGGTTAAAATTCACTAATGCTAACATATAACAGAAGGCCCTGGGTTACCTTGCTAGATTGTGTGGTTTATAAATATATTTCTGTGCTAATCTTTTTTTATTCACGTAAAAAAAAAAATGTTTGCCAGGATTAATTTTTTTTCAAATTAAAACTTTCTCAAAGAAGAGAACTACACATTTCCATTGCATTGATCTTGTTTCTTACATACAGTAAATGGCTAGTGTAGAATTGCATCTGTTTATGGCTACATTTCATAATACTGTACATAACCTGTCTTTTATAGATGTTTTTTCATTGCTTTCATTTGCCAGAAATTCCATCTATAGGCTATTTTCTGTTCAGTTCTTTAGTTGTTAAAATGTTTTGATAAATGGTGTGTGCTCAGGTCTAGCAGTACATGTGCTTGGTAGCTTGAACATCTGACTATGTAACTTTAGTTGGGTGTATTCACAATCACCTTTATTGCAGTAAAGGTATCTCCATGTGCCCTAGTTTTCCCATGTGGATCATACGAGGACAATCTCAGCACAGTATGTGAACTTCCATAGCACCTATAAGTAAAAGTGAAGGACCCTTTTCCACACCTTTCAGGCGTATTGGGTATATAGGGCTAGACCTATATTTTATAGATCAACGGCACAAGATGGGATATGTGGTCAGCATCACGTGGCTGCCTATTCTTCCCAGGACTGCACCCAGTACCCACTCAAGGCTGGGTCGACCTGGAAGCCAAGGTCATTTTTGAAAAAAGCCTGGCTCCGCCAGGGAGTGAACCCACAACCTTCCGATTCGCAAGCATCTAGCCACTACGCCACTACAACTCCCCCATGGCACCTATGAGGATTCAAATATGTGTACTAGAATTACAAATACTTTAAATATTTGTATAGCTTTCCTCCATTGTGAAGCTGAAGAAAGGACTAACTTTTCAATCTTCTTTCTGGAAGACTCCCGTAATTCCTAATTGCAGACAGCAAAGTTGTGGGCTTTCTGGACTTTTGTTGTATTTAAAGATTTAAATTATGACTGATTTACTTTGTGAATATACCTATTCATTATTCAATTTAAAAAATGGCCAGGAAGACAGGAGAAGGAGCTGTGGTGTGGCCAGGAAGACAAAGAAAGGAGCTGTGGTATGGCCAGGAAGACAGGAGAAGGAGCTGTGGTGTGGCCGGGAAGACAAAGGAAGGAGCTGTGATATGGCCAGAAAGACAGGGGAAGGAGTTGTGGTATGGCCAGGAAGACAAAGGAAGGAGTTGTGGTATGGCCAGGAAGACAGGGGAAGGAGCTGTGGTGTGGCCGGGAAGACAAAGGAAGGAGCTGTGATATGGCCAGGAAGACAGGGGAAGGAGCTGTGGTATGGCCAGGAAGACAGGGGAAGGTGCTGTGGTATGGCCAGGAAGACAGGGGAAGGAGATGTGGTATGGCCCGGAAGACAGTGGAAGGGAGCTGGGGTATGGCCCGGAAGACAGTGGAAGGGAGCTGGGGTATGGCCAGGAAGACAGGGGAAGAGAGCTGTGGTATGGCCAGGAAGACACGGATAGGGAGTTGTGGTATGGCCAGGAAGACATGGATAGGGAGCTGTTGTTTGGCCAGGAAGATGGGGGAAGGAGCTGTGGTATGGCCAGGAATACAGGGATAGGAGCTGTGATATAGCCAGGAAGACAGGGGAAGGAGCTGTGGTATGGCCAGTAAAACAGGGAAAGGAGGTGTGGTATGGCCAGGAAGGCACAGATAGGGAGCTGTGGTATGGCCAGAAAGGCACGGATAGGGAGCTGTGGTATGGCCAGGAAGATACGGATAGGGAGGTGTGGTATGGCCAGGAAGATACAGATAGGGAGCTGTGGTATGGCCAGGAAGGCACAGATAGGGAGGTGTGGTATGGCCAGGAAGATACAGATAGGGAGGTGTGGTATGGCCAGGAAGATACAGATAGGGAGCTGTGGTATGGCCAGGAAGACAGGGATAGGGAGCTGTGGTTTGGCCAGGAAGATGGGGGAAGGAGCTGTGGTATGGCCAGGAATACAGGGATAGGAGCTGTGATATAGCCAGGAAGACAGGGGAAGGAGCTGTGGTTTGGCCAGGAAGATGGGGAAAGGAGCTGTGGTATGGCCAGGAATACAGGGATAGGAGCTGTGATATGGGTAGGAAAACAGGGAAAGGAGGTGTGGTATGGCCAGGAAGGCACGGATAGGGAGGTGTGGTATGGCCAGGAAGGCACGGATAGCTGTGGTATGGCCAGAAAGGCACTGATAGGGAGCTGTGGTATGGCCAGGAAGACATGGATAGGGAGCTTTGGTATGGCCAGGAAGACATGGATAGGGAGCTGT